ACACACACACACACACACACACACACACACACACACACACACACACACACACACACACACACACACAAAACCAGGAAACCCACCCACCCCTCACCAACAACTGTCTTATCAAGCCAGGTACAGAGAGCTCTGAGGCAGATCAACCCCCGCAAAGCATCAGGACCAGACAATATCCCAGGGCGGGCCCTCAGAGCTTGTGCTAATGAGCTGACAGATGTTATCACCTCCATCTTCAACGCTTCCCTCAGCCAGAGCATTGTCCCCACATGCTTCAAATCAACAACAATTGTCCCCGTCCCCAAGAACAGCCAACCCACATGTTTAAATGACTACAGGCCAGTAGCACTCACCCCAATCATTATGAAGTGCTTTGGGAGAGTGCTGCTGGCCCACATTCAGGAGAGCATCCCGGCCACCCTGGACCCCTTGCAGTATGCCTACAAGCACAACAGGTCGACATCAGACGCCATATCTGCTGCCCTCCAATGCTCACTCTCCCACCTGGAGGAAAAAGACTCGTACATCAGGATCCTCTTCGTGGACTACAGCTCAGCCTTCACCACAGTAATCCCACAAAAACTCATCCATAAACTGGACTCATTAGGAATGCAACCCGCCCTCTTTGACTGGCTCCTAGACGTTTTGACTGGAAGACCTCACAGTCAGGACGGGAACAGGACCTCTTCCACACTCATCACAAACACCGGAACCCCACAGGGGTGCGTCCTAAGCCCAATCCTCTACACCCTGTTCACTCACGACTGTGATGCCTCCCATGAGAACAACATAATCCTGAAGTTTACTGATGACACTGCAGTGATAGGACGCATCACTGGGGAGGATGAAGCAGCTTACAGGAGGGAGGTAGCCGGCCTGGTGTCTTGGTGTGAGGACAACAACATCACCCTCAACATCGACAAAACGAAGGAGCTTATAGTGGACCTGAGGGAGGAAAGGAGGCCACACCAGCCACTGCACATCGGAGACCTTGAGGTTGAGAGGATGAGCAGCTTTAAATACCTGAGCGTCCACCTCACTGAGAACCTGACCTGGACTGAGAACACAACACAGCTGGTCAAGAAGGCTCAACAGAGACTCTACTTCCTGAGGAGACTAAGGAAGTTTGGCATGTCAACAAAGATCCTCAGGAACTTTTACAGCTGCATAGTAGAGAGCATCTTGACCAGCTGCATCACAGTCTGGTACAACATTGCCACCATTATGGACCGCAAATGCCTGCAGAGAGTGGTAAAAACTGCTGAGAAGACCACAGGGACTTCACTGACCTCGCTGCAGAGCATCTACCACTGCAGGGTTCACAGGAGAGCAGCCTCAATCATCAAAGACCCAACCCACCCCCAGCATGAGGAGAGCAGCCTCAATCATCAAAGACCCAACCTGTCTATTGCCAGCTATCACTGCGATAGGCAAGGTACACCCACCCCCAGCATGGACTATTTACTACACCTCTGCCCTCCGGCCAGAGGTACAGAAGTGTGACATGCAGAACCTCCAGATACAAGAACTCATTTTTCCCAAGTGCCATCAGACTTTTAAACAACTGAACGTGACACTCTTCTGACTATTACTGCACATGTGCGCATTTCAGACTGTTACCTGTTGCACATTTGCACACTACACATTAAAACAGATTGTACAGTTCCCTTCTTGTTGTCATTATTATATTGTTCCCTTCCGATGTTATAATCCTTAGTTTAGTCTCCTCTTTTATCTAATCAACATTGTGTCCTTTCGGTGATGATTCGTTTCTTTTGTTAATATGGTTATCTCTTGGCATTCAAAATGGACGACAAAGTAAGAATTTCATTGCTCAGGGAAACATGTTTTCATCTGTGCATATGACAATAAACACTTTGAATCTTTGAATTGAATCTTTATTTTTATCTGTTTTGGTCAAGCTGCTTACTGTCTGACACGACCCGAGCAACGTTCAAGTTGCGTCGGAACAAACAACTTTCTCACTAGAAAAATAATTAGAATACTCCGTGCTGAAAAACAACCAGTCATTTTAAGAATTATTAATATTATTTTACCAATTAACCCTGTATGTTACACACAAACTTTATAATTACAAACATCGGAACTACTACACCCAATTTGAGAACACGTAATGTCCGTTACCTCCTGAATGCAGCACAGAGCCCGTCTGCTAAAATGCTAACAACAACAAGCTAGCGTTCAAGAACTCGTCAGGATTTAAATCATTGCTGAGGCTTTTGACAAATCCAAAAAAATTTCCAGAGATGACGCAGATCTCAAGCACTTTAACGATGGAAATGATGACAACCAGCTGTTCACCCTCGCTAAAAATCGCAGCTTTTATCTCCTTATTGTTAACCACGGTTTACCATGCCGACTGCTTTCTGTGTGTCTCCCTGTAAGTATGATGCAGTCGTAATACATTCACACTTTGATTGACAGGTTATCATTTCTGCACTATTATCTCAGAAGCACTGTTTCAGGCAGAAAAATGTTTTAAATCATATATTAATAATAATAAAAACAAATGTACTTTGAATCTAACTTGTGTTAGTACATTATCTGTTTTGAACTTGTGGAATGACTTTTTTTTTTTTTGTTTAAATCTGAGATCAGTGTTAAAGGTCTTTTTTTAATTAATGTGCCTTGTTTAAAAAGATGGCCATTTGAGAAATTGATTTGTTTGATATACTTTAAGAAATATTTGTTTGCTAAGAGTTTATTTCAAATGGTATAATTTACAGTGTCATTTGGTTTTGGTGTTTTATGTTATGATCTTACCCATTTTTGACTAGTCTTATCCCTTGGCATGTTAACGGTTATCGACCAATACAAGGAGAAAGTCATTGGTCATCGGTATCGGTTCTTTAAATGAGTTATCGTGCATCCCTAATTTTATAAATAAATTATCTCGTTTACGGCCAGACCAACTTGAATTCCCTGACTAAATCCTGACTTCTTTGTGTGTCCTCATATTAACACAGAAAGGGTGTTCATTTCCTTAAACAGAAGAACCTGTGAATTTTCTTTATAACAGTGGTTTTAAGAAGTGTAATTTATACTAATCACTACACTTTCTCCTCTGCACTTCCTACTCTATGTGACCCTTGGCCTTTTTAGCAATGTCATTTGTGTCTGGTGTGAGCTTTTGCTGCCGTGAGACTCTGTCGGACTGGCTTAATATTGAATCAACAATAAAAAATAAAACTTCTAAATTTTTCAAATACATCAATCAACAATTATTGCACTCCAATCAGTCTTTTGCGACGTTAAAATTGCACACACTGATAATGCGATGACGATATATTTGAGATATATTGTGCAGCCCTAATGTGTAGAAAACCAAAAATCAGAGGAAGCTGATGTAATCATGTGTGAGGGTTAATGTTCACATGACTGGATGTGTGTTTCTGTTTACCTTCTTCTCTATGGAGGACAGCAGGTCTTTGAGGATGGCCAGTTTGGTCACTAAGTTCTCCAGCTCCTGGTCGCCACCCTGATTCACAGACTGATGGACAAAAGAAAAGAAAAAAAAAACATGTGACTAAAATTAATTTAAATATGAAAGTCAGAGGCTGAATTCATGCCACAATGTCTTAACGAAATTTAAAGGTTTCTTTACAAAATAGATCACAAAAGTCTGCAGTGGTATAAAAGGAGCTGAGCTGAGTGTATCGCTATGGCCCTTAAAACTGGTTGCAAAAAAAAAAAGGATCTAAAAACAAACAAACAAAAAAGTGAACAACCCGTATGGTGGAACTGCTGTACTTTGAAGTAAGACAGCACATTTTAGGGCGGGTTTTGATGTCTCAGAAAGAACTGAATCCTGCAGACGAATGGCCTAGAAACAACTGCTCAGTTCTGCATGCAAGGATTCGCTCAAACGTTTTCTGTTGTGTAACTATCTGTGTCAAGCAACTCAAATTGCTTCAAAACCTGGGACGTCTTCATACAAACGGACAATTTCAGCTCTTTGAAAGCTTTCTTTGTTAGTAAAGATAGTAAATATGTTAACAAGCTTGGCCCAGTGGTTTAGTAAAAGGATTTAAAAAGCCAGCAGTATTTGAGAAACACCACATGGAGAAGACCAGTGAGGTACAAAACATGATCAGGACAAATTTCTTTTTCTTTTAGAGGTCCTCAGGATTTATTATAGTTTGATGATGTAATAAAAAAAAGTAATTCAATAACCTTTATTTAACCAGGTAGAAAACCCAGTGAGATCAGGATCTCTTTTACAAGGGCGACCTGGTCAAGAGGTCCGCACAACACGTAACAGAGTATATCAGAGTTCAAATTTACATTTCGGTTAAAGTACAACAATTCAAAATACAAATTGTTATAAACAGATTTAGACAATCAAGTCGTTTAAAACGTACAGACGAGCTAATTTCCAATTACGGCATAACGATTTTCAATTCTTACAAACTATTAGTGTGACAATAATCAAACACTTTTGATTACAAATTCAAACAAAAATAATAAAAACTCAAAAATAAGAGGTCAGATGAGAGATCACCACAGGCATTTATAGCGTACAAGCAGTGACTAAAAAACAACTGCACGGATCAAACTTCTTTTTAATATTATCAGTGAGGATCGACAAGAAGGATCTGAGAGAGATGAGTATTGACATTTTTAGATCCTTCTGTACATTGTTCCAGGCTGAGGGAGCAGCGAAGATGAATGCTTTTTTTCCCCTAGTTCAGATCTGACAGGAGGACTCGATTGTTGGAGTGCAGTGAATACTGACTGTTATTTTGACTGTAATTATAATTATAAGAAAGTTTCCTATCTATCTATATATAAAAAAACACTGATAATTATGTGCAGTAGAGGTTGACCCAGTGTTTCTACAGCCGATGGAAAAAAGGCAACACAACAGTTTTTTTTTTTTTTTTTTTTTTTTTTTTTTTGGTTAATATGTATTTTTTATTTAACAAAATATAGGAGTAATTACCAACAATTGCTTAGCCTAAAAATATGTATATATAGCAACCCTTAGAAGCTCTAGTAGTTATAAAAAATAATATTTAAAGAGCATTATTGTTAAAAAAAAGCACAACTCATTTATTGGCTACAGTAACTGGTTGTAGCAGCTACTTCTGTATTTTTATTTTCCTACTTGGTAAATGATTGGTATTTTTTATCAGCTGACTAAAATCATTCAGATTAATCAGTCCATCTCTAATGTACAGCATGGGTGAGTTTGTGTTGGGAGTTTTCTATTTATCTGCCTCATGTGACCTTCTAGAAACATTTGATTTGTTTTTAATTTGCTTATTTTTGCATGACATGCTTATTGAGTTTGTGTATCTTACTCTAATGTGAAAACATTTTTTTGCAAGTTTTGATGCAAATGACAGCTCCAACAGAGTATTTACTTAAGCAACATATTGTTCATTTTACTATCTGTAATGTATATTATAATCCGGGTTGCACATGAGCGGTGCAAAGGTGCGTATGCGCGATCAAAAAAGAAAAAGCGCACCAGATGGAATGTCATAAAGCTCACTTGCGTACCTAGAATGTACCTGAGTTTGTCTGTCAAAACAACAGCTAGCAGGGCTCTAGAGTGCAACCAGTTGTGTTGGAGAGTTTCACCTTGTACACGGGACATTCACAAGTTTTCCCTTTTCCTTAAAACAACCTTTGGACAAACTGTTCTGTCAGTCAAAGGAGGTCACTTTTGGAAGTCTCCCAACAAATACTGTATAAGGGAATGTCCCAGTTATTGTTCATTTAAAAAGCATCTCAAACTGTTTCTCAAACATTCCCAGTCATGCACTCACTGAATAATTTTAAATTTACTGTTGTATGTAATTTGTCTAGATATGTATCTGTGTTTTGCATGTATGATTGTATATTGTGATCTTCTGTTGTTTTGTTCTTTTGAAAATCTTGTTTTTATTTTTCTTTATTATTTGTTCTTTTATTCTCTTTCTTCCTTCCTCAGGACTACAGATGTAAATTAGTAATTATGCTACAATCTGGCTCATTTACAGTCTATACAGAAGTATAAGAATGTTCATTAAAAAAAATTTTTTTTTCTTAAAAAAAATTTCTTTTAATCCAGCCGCACTGGTGACTGGAATAGTAAATGGACTGTACTTATATAGTGCTTTTCTATCCATCCAGGACACTCAAAGTGCTACACACTACAATCTGTGTCCTCATTTACCCATTCACACAGCACTCTATTATGTCTCCACAAAGCTACATATACAATCATCTGAGGAGATTAATCAGTGCCAATCACATTCATACACTGATGGGACACACATCAGAGGCATTAGGGGTGAAGCGTCTTGCCCAAGGACACAACAACTGAGACAGCTGGACACTTGTTTGTCCCATATTAAAGCAAAGATGATTCTGTTTAACATCACCCCCGTCAAAAAAAATTATATAAACCTATATTTAAAAAAAAATAAAAACAACTTGCCATGTTCTCTAGATGATTGAGTTTTAAATGTTATTTTAATTGATCATAAAGATCCACAAATTTCATTCATAATTTTATTTTAAAAAAAACAATGTTCTTGATGTGCTAAATTTGTTTATATTTAGGACCATACTGTGGAGAGTGTGGAAAGCTGGTTTAACCAAGGCCAAAGATCCAGAAGACCAAACAGGAGTTGTCCATCTGAAGGACATGTTAGTCTAACAGACATTTAACCATGAAATGTTCAGTTTGTGAAGTTTATATATAACATACACCCAGCCCCTTGGCCACTTAGGTAGTTTACAAAATTTATGTAGAGTAAAAAAATTAAATAAATAACTCAGTGGACTGATTTGGCATGATGTCCTGAGACGTTGCAGCTGATAGGAGTCATAAAACAAAACAGGGGGACGTTAGATGACCTGACGCCCCTACAGATAAATGTGTTAAGTGAGTGAAGGAAAATATGAGCACCAAGCAACAACCCTAGGTTCTCACCTGAGAACCAGACCAAACATTTTATGTGCAACCCTGTATATAATATTATTAATAACACTGCTATGTAATTTAAAGTAGTAGTAGTAGTAGTAGTAGTAGTAGTAGTAGTAGTAGAACTTTATTTCAGACTCAAGGTCCAGCTAAAATACACTAAGAACAAGATGAACAACCAAACAGATACACATATCCACTATCATTCAAAAATAAATTACATCATATTTAATATAAACTTACATCAAATTTAATAACAAACTGTACCAGTGTCTCCACAGCTCAACCATGGGTTTACTAAGACCATGATAATTTTATTTTCAGATTCATTTAAGCAATATACAGTATATATTTATGCATGAGATTTCTAAGCAGCCTGCAGAGTGCTGACTACAGCTGTCACAAAAATTTCACTAAAGTATCTAAACAAAAACTTAAAACTACTCAATTTATATTTCAAGATCTAAGTCCAGAATAAAAATATTTGTATATTGATTTGAAGTCTGTGTATATACGACTTATATAACAAAATATTATAAGGAGTTCTCTAGACTGACTTTAAAGCATATCAGAAGATAGGATTGTTCTTATTTTGTACAGTTTTATTTGAGAAAAAATAATTAAAATATCTGCATACTGGCTTAATTTTTGCACTGTGAAACCCATAAAACAGACAAGAATCCTTACAGTTTAATTGTCAGAGTCTGAACAGAGACACAGATTTGTACCTGTTGGATCATCTTAGAGACCATGAAAGCGCTCTGCTGATCAAACACTTTGGACAGGATCTCCAGACCAGACAGAACCTTATCCACCTCCCTGTTTGAGGGAATAAGAACAGACTCAACAACTTGTTTTCTGACTCTTCAGCTCGATTCTACAACAAGAAAGCATATTTCTACTACATGTACATGAGTCTTTTGTTTGCCATCACAATATTTGAACGTGCAACAAGATCAAGTGTGGCCAAAACAAGAGACGCAGAAGAAGCTCTGTGGGCTGAAGAGATTTTCAGGGGATTTAAAGTTTTATGAGAGAAGAGTTTGTGTCTGCAGAGTATGTCTGGAACAAGGTCAGCTCACCCGTTGAGGCGTTTGCAGGAAGCCACTAGTGTTTTGTTGAGATGAGGCAGTGAGGAGGCCCCCTGTTTGACAGCTTCCAGGTCCAAAGCGTAGCTGCCCTTCAGGTACTCGTGTGAGATGGTGCTCAGGCCGTTAGCTGCCGGGGCACTGAAACAAATCCAGAACAGGTCTAGTGATGTTGTTCACATTTCACACTGTCAAGTTTTGCCTGTAAAACACTTATGCCATTGCTGATATGACTTACACATCTGAAATACATTCTCTGAATAAACCACATTCTGGAGAGGAAAAACCGAGCCACCTTTGACTTCCTCTTTCAAAGAAAAATAAAATAGTGAGGTAGCCGTGTCAACAGTCAACTGCTTTACTGAAACCCTAATTCGCATTAAAGGCAGTCATGCCTTTGTGGTTTAATGTGATGACATTTCCTTTAAGGATCACTGGTGCTCATATCCAGCAGTCACTGCGTGAGGGGCGGGCTACACCCTGGACAGGTCACAAATCCATCACAGGGACACACACAGACAAAACCAACAGAGCCAAATAAACAGAGACTATATAAAGAAAAAAAGTAAAGTTTTACAGTTCTTAAAAACATCCTAACGTGCACATATTTTTAATGCAAACCAAAAATGTCCAAAAAAGTCAGTGATTTCATGTAACCTCAAAAAGTGCCACTCAAACTGGAAACCTGGCTCATTTTCTGGTTCACACGTCAGCAAACCCACTGATTTCCAAGGCAAAAGGTAAACGAGGCCTCGTTCCTCCTCTTCTGTTCTTTGATGTATTTTCCTCTCACTGTGGGATTTTATGAACATTTTGTGACTAATGTGCAGCAAGTGTCATGGCTAATTTCCATGATTGATTTTGTGCTTCAATCCATGACAACCTGACACGAGAGCTGCTGCGACGAGCTTTCATGAGACGAACAGTAAAAGTAAACTAAAACCCTTTTCTTTAAAAACTGTGCAAACAGACATTAAAGTTGGTTACTCTATGCAGATCCCAATAACTGACAAACTACGGCTCCCTGCGTCATCTGTAAGCCCTGTGGTCTTCAGCAGGATGTGGTTTACCTTTTGTACGAGGACAAGTGTAAAGAATGAGTGTGTGTCTGCTCATGAACTGAATCTGAAAGCTGATGGTTGATATTAAAGCATTTCCTGCACTGATAGGAAGATAGAAAATGGGTAAAAGACATATTTGTCTTTCAGTAGCCTTTACTTATCATCACAATGATGTTCATGTGAAGCAGCATGATTCATGTACGTGTGTTGGAAACATGGGCAGTGTTTGCACACATCGGTTGGCGCTGACATTTTTGCCGGCTGTTTGTGTTTAGTGACGCCTCATAGTTGTGAGCAGTGCAGGACTAAATGATCCGTAACACAGACTTTGTACCTTTCTGTGGGCGTTTCTGGTCCAGGAGGAGTGGAGGTGGAGGCAGAGCGAGGGGGGAGGGGCGGCTTCTCGTCCTCTCCATCTACAGATCGAAGAAAATGAGTCAACATTTGGCAAAAAACAAAAACAAACAAACAAAAAAAAAATGACAGCCGTTTGGTTGGCAGGGCGTTTATGACCTGAATAGTCCCGGTCATCCGTGATGGCCGTCTCCTCTCTGTCCACAGCGTAAAGCAGAGTGGTGACCAGGCCCTGACTGGGTTGCAGGTACAACAACACCAACTCTGGTAACGTCTTGAAGCGCTTCGGCTGCACGCCCTGAGACGTCTGAGAGCGGGAGAGAGGAAGGGAGACATGTCATTTCCTACACAGAGCCATCACAATGATTACATCCAAACCCCTGAGCTGCAAGTGCACGTTTCTGAAATCTCTGCTGGCCCCTATTGTTCCATATTTAATGTTGTGTAAGCAGAGCTAAATATAATCCAAACCAGGAAGAGCTGACTTGATAAACATTTCCCATCAGGCTCGGGAAGAAAAATTAGACTTTTCCCTTCACAACCAAGGTCCAAAAAAAGTCAGACAGGAGGGAGAAACGCCATCTGCTCTGGAGCACCATGTTGTCGTGTGCGTGTCTGCGTTGGAGAGGACTTCACAGCTGTTAGCCACGAGGCACAAAGAGGCTGCTATGTGTGTGTGTGTCTATGTGTGTGTGTTTGAAAGCGAGAGAGAGTGAGCCTAGAGCCAACAAAAGCATCTCGGCCTGCCAGCTGTTGCTGCAGCACGACGAGGGAGAGTGCGTGTCACTTCTGTACCTGCACCGCCAGGAATCCCTCATCGTCTGGGAGGATCCTGTACGTGTGGACGTGCTTCTGAAACCTGCAGGGAAACACGTACAGAAAGGTTTAACACAAAGCTCACAGAGCGCTACGGGCACAAGAAGAACGGAAGGAAATGAAAGGGAAGCATGAATGCTTAAATAACTTCATTTGTTAGGTAGGGAGGGAGGTAGGTAGGTAGGTAGGTAGGTAGGTAGGTAGGTAGGTAGGTAGGTAGGTAGGTAGGT